TTCTAGCAGCCAGTAGACGTTTAAATCCGTTTCTTGTTCACGCCAAAAACGCTGTCTTGGTTTTTCAAACAGTTCGGGTGAAAACAAGACGCTCCCGTGTGTTCTCTCCATAAAAGTTGCTCGGCTGCTTGAAAACCAAGATGTCTTTTTATCCGTGTTTTGGAACAAATTCGTTGCAAGAAAAGGATTTTTTGGCTTAGCGATTAGCGAAGCCCAGAACTCCACATTTTTACATATCAATCCGTCAAATTAGAACATTTGATGAATCTTTGTACAGCATGTACAAATTTTCTTTTCCTTTACTTTTGAGTATGGAGTCCCCGACAAATGCTGTGAGCATGTGAAAATTGGGGGCTAGGCCCTATTACCGCATACACTCCTATTAACTCGTTTCGGGTGTCAGTCCGCAGGCCTGGCTTCATGTGCGCCTGGAGCGTCGCAGCGTAACAGTGTTTCTGAAGATATCGCGAAGCCTGTAATGTGAGACGTGGTCTGGCTTACATATAGCAGGACCGCGCCAACTGCGCGAGGTTTGCAACTGCGCGAGGAGTGCAACTGCGCGAGGTAAATTATGCTGTTTGCAGCTGCGCGTGGTTTTCAACTGCGCGAGGTATGTAACTGCGCAAGGTTTGCAACTTCACGAGGTTTGCAGCTGCGCGAGGTCAATTGGCCCCGTTTGAAACTGCGCGAGGTTTTTAACTGCGCGTGCTCTGCACGTGCGCGTCGCCAGCAACTGCGCGAGGTCTGCAGCTGCGCGATGCCAATGTGAAGCGTTTGTAACTGCGTGAGGTTTTCAGCTGCGTGAGGTCTGCAGCTGCGCGAGGTCCGTTTTGTGCCCCTTGCAACTGCGCGAGGTCGGCAACTGCGCTTGGTCTGCAACTGCGTGAGCTCTGCAATTACGCGTGGCCAGCAACTGCGCGAGGAGTGAGCTGAGAGTGGTTTGCAACTGAGCAAGGTATGCACGAGTGGTTTGCAACTGCACAAGGTATGCAACTGCGCGAGGTTTGTCAGCTGCACGGGGTCGGAGATTAGGCAGGTTTGGTTAGGTTGCGTTAGTTGCATTAGGTAAGGGTAGATTTCGTTGCGTAAGGTTTCGTTAGGTTAGGTTTTGTTAGGTTAGGTTGCGTTAGGTTAGGTTTCGTTAGGT